CCTCCTTTTAACCTCTGTATGGTGGTTTGATTGAAAAATCACTCCCATTAGGCTAATACAGTAAAATAGTTGGTTTGCAGTTGGTGAAACTGCTGGGAAGGATTGAGAGGTGTGACCTTCTTGGAGGAGGTGTGTCACTGAGGGTGGGGTTTGAGGTTTCAAAAGACTCTTGAAATTCCTAGCATTCTCTTTCTGCCTCATGGTTTGTGGGTCAAGATATAAGTTCACAGTTATTCCTTTTTCTACCATCATGGACTCTCACCTTCTGAAACTATAAGCCAAAATAAATGCTTTCCTTTGTGGTGTTTTATCACAGTAGTGGGATGCAACCAAGAGAAACAGCAAAGCCTATAGTTAAACATGGTTCATATAAGTCTATATGTATATGTATTCATATGCATATGTAGTGTAAATGAAGTTATCACCTGAGCTGACAATGCTTTCCCCACAGGTCATAGACTATCTAACAAACTCCTTTCAAGTTTTTAGGCAGTCCAAGAGATCCCCAGTGTTTCATTTTTTTAAGATTTATTTTACTTTGTGTGTGTGTGTGTGTGTGTGTATGAGAGAGAGAGAGAGAGAGAATCCCCTAGAGGTAGAATTACAGGAGATTGTGAGCCATTTGACATATATGCTGGAACCAAATTCTACTCCTCTACAGGAGCAGTGTTTATTATAAACTGCTGAGTCAGCTCCCTGGCCCTTCAAGGCTTCTTTTTAATACTTAATCTTTTACTGTTTGATCTTGTTTGTTTGGTACTGAAAAGAGTTCTAGCCATTGTTTTCCCACACTATAATAGTAATGAAACCAAGCATTTTCTTGGTCTGCTAGATGTTCTTACAAGTCATAGATCTGTGGAAAGCTGTGCGTGGCTAAGGTTATACTGGTGATATGTGGCCTTATGGCTGAGGAGAAGTTGATATTATATTTAAGAAAGCATATTAATTGCTCTTCAGTTTAACTTGCTTACTTTACAAGTAAAATATATAGCCACATTTTGGACTTGAAGGTTTAATAAAATTGGGATGGAGAGATGGCTCAGCAGTTAAAAGCTCTTCCAAAGGAAGAGTTTGGTTTCCAGCAGTCACATTGGTTGGTTCATGACTGTCTGTAACTCCAACTCTGGCTTCACCTATTGTCTTCCTTCTTCCATCTTCTTATATTCCTAGAATATGGAGTTCATACATTTAAGATAAGAGGTACAACTCTAGCATTAATATTCTTGAACCATTTGGTTTTTAGTTGTTTGTGCTGCTCTTATGAAGACTGTTATGTGTGTAAGATGAAAAAGCTTTCTTGTTTGTTTCTTGCCCATTTGAACTTAATAAAATGCATGAAATAAGTTCATGTCTGTATGCACCAAGACCCCGGTTGCTGGGATGAATGCACGTGGCAGTTGATAGCAGCACAGCTTTTGAGTGGGTTGTTACAGTGTGCAGTGGGAAGCGTACTGGGGTAAAATGATATTTGGTACAGTGTGCTTGGAAGGATTAATATGGTGGTGGGAGTAGCAGGTGGCTGTGATAGGCGAAATATGTTTGGATATGGGTTGATGTGGAAATAAAGACTAGAAGGGAAGTAGAGCCAAGGTGTAAACCTCAATGCATCACCCCAGAAACCTACTCTCTGTGCCTGAGCCCTACCTTCCAAAGATTCTACAGCTTTCCAAAGTAGCACCACAAGCTGGGGTCTAAATGTTTGAATGTGCATGTCTGTGGAGTCATTTCACATTTAAACCACAACATATAAGTTCATAGAGATGTTGAAGAAATTACCACGCATCAGACTTGGGTGACATGGTTAAATGCTGGGATGGCTAGAGGTGGAACCCATTTACTAAGGAGGATAATTAGTCCAACTTAGGATATTTGGGGTTATTAAGTGGTCAGTAGATGGTTGTGGTAATGGAATAATAATGACTCCCATAGGCTCATATATTTGAATGTTTAGTCATCAGGGAGTGGCACTATTTGAAAAGGATTAAAAGGTATGTCTGGGAGAAAGTATGTCAGTGGGGGTGGGCTTTGAGGTATCAAAATCCCATGCCAGGCCCAGTGTAGTTTTCTCTTTCTGCTACCTGCAGATCCAGGTTCTAACTCTTAGCTATTCTCCATAATTATGTCTGCTTGCATAACGCTATGCTCCTCGCCATGAGGATAGTGGACTAAACCTCCGAAACTGCAAGCAAGCCCCATTTAGATGCTTTCTTTCATCAGAGTTGCCTTGGTTGTGGTATCTCTTCACAGCAATAGAACAATGGTTAAGACAGAAGTTGGTACCAGGAAGTGGGATATTGTTGTGACAGGCTTGACCATGTTGCTTGTTGTCAGCATGCAGACTTTTGGACTTTGGATTAGAAAAGCATTTAAGTGAAAGCTTCAAGTGGAGTGTAATGGACCATACCAATGGACCATACTAGTAGGACCATGGAAGACAGTGGTGCTGAGGACAATGTAGATTATGATGGCCCAGCTCAAGAGGTTTCAGAGGGCAAGACTATTAGCAACTGTCCTAGAGACTATTCTTATGATATGTTGGTAAAGAATGTGGCTGCTTTCTGTCCTTTTCAAAAAAAAAAGCCTTCCTGAAGCTAAATTGAAGAATTTTAAATTAATGCCATTGGCAGAGGAGATTTCAAGTTAGCCTAGTATTTTCTGTATTATATGGTTATTAGTGCCACTCTTAATGTAGATCTGGAATGAAAAGGAGCAAGCTAAGCAAGAAAAAAATATATAAATACAGTTTGAGGAGAAAAGGAACATTGGGAAATGTTACATTGGAGTCAAGTCCAGTGTTCAAGGAGATAGAAAATTTAAATAAAAGCCTGATGCTAAATGGAATAAAGAAATTGGTGAACTCAGGACAAGACCCTACCTAGCTAAGCTTCCAGCATGTGGAAAGGAATTAGGTAAAGTTTAAGCGGTGAAGGAAACCATCAAAATCAGAATGCTGATGAAAATGTATTTGAGTGACAGGACTAAGTTCCAATCTACCAAGTAGTAAAACTTGCAGCTTGGCCATGTGATTCTAGCTTTAGACTCAAGGATACAGGAAAGAAATTGTTGACTCTCCTTCCCTCACTGTAGTTTGCTCCCTTTTCGAATCATAATGTATATCCTGTGCTGTTATGTATTGGAAGTATGAGATCTGCTTTTGATTTTGATTTTACAGAGGATTACAGTTAAGAGACTGCCTTGAGTAATAGAAGAGACTTTGAAGAAGTCTCCAGTCTGTGAACAACTATGAGAACTTTTGAAGTTGAACGCACATTTGCATTATGATATGGCTACAATCCTATGGTTACCAGGGAGTGCGATGTGGTGGTTTGCATAAGCACTCATATATTTGAATGGTTAGTCAGCAGGGAATGGAATTATTTGAAGAGGATTAGAAGGTGTGGTCTAGTTGAAATGTGTCACCAGGGGTGGGCTTCGGGATTTCAAAAGTGTTACTCTCTCTTCCTGCTGCCTGCAGATCCAGATGTAGAACTCTCAGCTACTTCTCCAACACTATGTTTGCCTGTGTACCCTCATGCTTCCCTCATGCCATGATGATCATGGAGTAAACTTCTGAAATTGTAAGCAAGTCCCAATAAGAGTTACCTTGGTCTGGGTATCTCTTCACAGTAATAGAACAGTGACTAACTCAATGGGTGTCAGAAAGTGTAGGTTTGAGCATCAAGTGCGTGACAAAACTATAGAGAATAGTCATGTGCAATGATGCTCCAGAATGAGGAGTGTGGGCTAGAACACTGTAGGGTGTAAGTTTATAGAGAGTGACATGGGTACTGTCACGAAGATACTCAGTGACTAATCAGAGAGACAGATAGAGGTGGTGGTGATGTAGTACCAAAGAATAAAGTTTTCTGTTCATAAACTGTCAGCTGAGTCTCATGTAATAAAATCATCTGGAACACCAGGAGTGACATCTGCGTTGGCTTGACCTAGTGATTACCTTGGTAAAAATAGTTATCAAGACCAGTTGTGCTTTTACCCAGTTTGCTTTGGCTTTAGGGGTACAGAGCAGGGGAATAGAGGGAATAGAAATATAGAGAAGTCTTAGCTCTCTGGTCTGAAGTAGAATTGTGAAGCTTCCCAGAGAAGCAAGAATTTCTTGGGCTCCATAGTGCAGGGGCTTGTGTTGCTATAATGCTGGCACCATTAGGACCATTTCCTACTGCAAGAAATAAGTCATACTTCTGTTTGTTACGTATCTGTCTGATTGCAAATGGAGATTTTGTTTACTCTAGTGGACAGTAGTGTATGTGTTCTCCATAACCATTTCTTTGTTTTAACATGGACAACCATTCACCTGATTGTTGAGTATTTATATATTGCTAAAACACTGACCTTCTCTGAAGTTGTCTTTGGCGCTTCTGGAGACATGCTGTTGGCTCTCCCACCAGCATGGGAGCTTTCTTTATGTAGAATGTCTTTCTACAGATTCCACTGGTGCTCAGGATCTCATCTTCATTGTGATGACCCAGATCCTCAATGTTCTGCTTCCCTCTCCACCATGTCAGCTCTCTATTTCCTGTAGACTGCATACTTCCAGTTGCAGGAGGAAGATGTGGCTGGTCCATGTTTCTCACTTTTCTGTGGTCCATTCTGTTGCTCTTGTGCTTTCACCTCTTCTCCCTCTCCCCTCCCTCTTTTTTTTCTCTGTCTTTCTCTCTCTCTTTCTCTCTCTCTCTCTCTTACCTCTCTTTTCGTTGTCCTCTCTAGGTGGTTGGGCATACCTTTTCTCTCCCTTTAGGAGTCTGCTCCAATGTCTGCTCTCAGCCTTCCTAGACAAAGCCGGCCACTCTTCCTTCAGTGGTGAGCTCCTTCTTGCTCCTACTTGCTGACAACTGATTGCCTTGCGTCTCTGCACTGCCTTCTTGATCCCCTCCGAGGATCTGCTCTCCCACCTGGCAAAGGACACCTGTGTGTATGTGGCCCCTTTACATGCAGAAGCTACCAGCCTGGCAATGCTCACCTTGTCCTTCGCTTCGTTCCAGGGAAGCAGTTCAAATGCACGGTATGTGACTACACAGCAGCCCAGAAGCCACAGCTGCTGCGGCACATGGAGCAGCATGCCTCCTTCAAGGTAAGGGGCGTGGGAGGCAGAAGTGGGGATCCTGGCTGGATATACACCACTGTGGCATTGACTTTGCATTATAGCTGTCCTGGGTGGAGCTTACTTTATGCTGCCTTTATCCAGAAGCCTGGTATTTCCTCTGTGTTTTGTAAACAAAGTTAAGGAACAGTGTCCAAGATGATGCAGACAGAAGACAAGGCACACAGGGGAAAGTACATGTTTAGGGAGGTATATCCTTGCCTTCAGATCCTGGATTACTGCAGGAAAATTGCCGGGTAAAACAGGTGTGGTTAAAGCCCACTTGGCAGGCTCTGGTATGAGTGGGAGAGTGCTCTGGTGTTTCCACTGCAGTGCCAGCACAGTGGTTCTCAACCTTCTTAATACTGCAACCCTATAATATAGTTCTTTATGCTATGGTGACCCAAACCATAAAATTATTTGATGTTATTTTATAACTATAATTTTGCTTCTGTTATGAATTGTAATGTAAGTTTTTGATATACAACCCCTGTGAAAGGGTTGTTTGAAAGGGTTGTTTGAACCCCCGCCAAGGGGTCATGGCCTACAATTTGAGAACCACTTGCCTATCATGTGGCAGGGGTTAGAGTATGGAGTTCCCCTGTTTTCCTAATGCTTGTAAGTGATGTCTTTTCAATGTGTGTGGTAGTATCTACTTGTCTCTCTTGTAATTATGGAGAGGAAGAAAGATGACCCAGTGTGTTTTCCAATAAAAACTCTGCATGTCACTTAAGGCAGCTTGACCTCTGACATTGTACTTCTGCTGGTATGTACACCAGAGAATGAAACCTTTTTAAAAATTGTTTCTTTATTATTATTATTTATTGTAGTTTATTCACTTTGTACTCTGGCTGTAGCCCCCTCCCTCATCTCTCCTGGTTCTACACTCCCTCCATCTTCTTCCCCTATGTCCCCTTCCCCTATGTCCCTCCCCTAGTCCACTAATAGGGGATTTGTGACCATTTTGCCCTAAAATGATTTTTGAAAATGCCTGCTATAAAATTCCGTAGAATTCTCTAATATGGAAGAGATGTTGGTAATAATGTTTAGGGCTCTCCCTCACTGAACATTTCAGGTGCTAGCTTTGTGTAATGAAGTACACACAGGATACACTCCTCACAATACATAATGTTTGTCCTTGTTTATCAGATGAGAATTCCAAGCCTCAGAATTTAGCTGATCAGCTCTAGGCTTTTCTGCCACATACTCTGAATTCAGCTACATCTATCATGTAGACCGACTGTGTCTGACACTTGTAAGATGAGAAGGACCTTCCCAAGCAGGAAGCTCATCCTGTGCTCAGAACAGCTTGTGAGACTTCTTAGGGCTTCTCCTCATGCAATGGGAGGAATTAAAACACTCTGCATGTGTGGACGTGCACTTTAGCATCCAGAAAACAAAGGGGCCGAACATAAACTGCATCCTCCCACTGTTTAGCACTCTTCCTGCTGTATCTTCTGAGTGAGGGTGGGCAGAAGGGAGAGATTGGGAAAGCTACAGTCTTGCAGATTGCGTTCAGGTGGCTGATCCTGGGGTGAACATGGGTTGCTAAGGTGGAACCCACCTGTCACTTGGAGCACTACATGTTAGGTCTTCATGTTAGGCCTATTTGTGTATAATTAAAACGAAGGGCTGCATTTTAATGTCTCACAAGATGAAACATGTTTCATTGGGAGATGACACTTTAAGAGTACTTCATTTATCATGCTAGAGAGCAGAGGACCAAAGCTATCTTTGTAGGTGAGAAATTAGGCCCAGTGGGGTTAATTCTTCTAACTGCTTCTTTCCTGGTTGGCTTTGCATTCATCCTTGGTTTTCACTGGTCTTCGCCAGAACCAGCTGTAGCAGCCTTTATCCCTGAACTAAATTCTCAGTTTTTGAGATTTTGGACAGGGGTTGAGGTGCCTGGGAGATGAATGTGGGATTCATTCTATTAACCATCCACCAGGAGTTACCATCTATTCCTCTGTCATGCCCTTGGCATCCAATGCAGGGCCTGCTGTTGCTGGACTGAACTAGCCTCTAAGCCATTCCTGGTCTCCCTCAGACTCCCGGTGGATTCAGGATCCTCTTTATCAAGTAGTTCCACAGCTGAGAATGAAACTCACACAGGTTAAGGAACACCACGGAACAGCTCAGCCAGCCTTGGTCTCTCACTCAGTGATTCCCCTAGGCCAGTTTGTCTAAGCGGGGTTTCTCAGTTAATTCAGAGAGCAGCATGAAATTGTTCCACAGCAGCTACTATCACCCAGATAGGAGCAATTACTCTTCTATATTCTCCCCTCTCACTCTTGTGTTGATTTCGTCTGTCTAAAATGGGTTACCAACAAGTTGTGGTGAAACAACATACATATTTTGTAGTTCTGGAACTCAGAAGTCTAATATGTGCAATCTGGCCCTGCCAAAAAACCAATAAACACAAAAACAAGTGACAATGTTGGCAATGCCACGTTTGAAGCCCATGCCCTTGTCTTGTCTTTCCTTACTGCTAGAATCCATTAACAGTGTCTGGCTTGTAGCCCCTTCCTCTATTTCAAGGTCAGCAATGTGACATGTCCTCTCACATCTTCTGCTCTGACTTAAGATCCTTGTGGGGCTGGGGAGGGGGTGATGTTGGAGAGATGGCTGTTGGTAAAGTACTTGCTGAACAAGCACGAGGACCTTCGATCACTCCCCAGCACTCACATGAAAGGCTAGGTACAGTGGTACATATCTGTGTTCCTGGCACTGAGGAAATGGAGACAGGCAGATCATTGGATCTTGATGCCCTCATGCTCACATGTGCATGGGTATACAAGCATGTGTAAACACACCACATGTACACAAACCACCTTATGTGTCCTGGAGATGTAACTCAGGTGGGAGAGTGCTTGCCTATCATGCACTCTATTTCAGTTTCCACCAAGTAAATCAGAAATGGTGGCACATGTTTGTAATCCCAACACTCAGAAGCTGGACACAAGAAGATCAGAATTCAAGGTCAACTTTGATGATGTAGCAAGTTCAAGATCAGCTTCAGATGCAGAACACTGTGTCTTAAATAATAAAATATTTGAAGGCCCCTGTGATGACATTCATATAATCCTATGGCCAGGCAATTGGTAACCTTAGTCTTAATTTCTGTGCATTAGTTGTTACTGTGTTTTCTTCAGTGAAAGGGATGAATCTAATTTTCATACATGCTAGAACACACTCTGAGCTAATCCCCCACCTAATTCCTGCAGTCTTAGTTCCTTTTAAATAGTTTCATGGATTAGGGCATGGGCATCTTTAGAGGGACACCGTTCTGCCAATCATATTTCCCCACGTGTTTTTCTTTTATATTTGTCTGTGGAGGAACTTATTTATGGAGGCCAGAAAACACACAGTATGCAAGCACATTTCACCTGGTAGCCAATGCTGCTAAACACTCAGGTTTCTCTTTTTCACCACTGTTCTGTTCGTTCGGGCCAGGATCCTCAGAAAGATACTATTGAACTTGTGCAGTTGGTTTGCAAAATGAAAACAATTTACTTTTTCTGGGGTAGATTTAATAATTTATATTATATGACTTGTAACAGGAATCACTGAAATAAGACAGATTCCTGGATTGTTTTTTAAAATGGCATATTTTGTATTTATGTATTTATTTAGTATTCATTAAATAGGATTTGAAAATGCTTGTAAATTTCCTTATAGAATCTAGAATGCTTTTGAAGCATTTTTTTTTAAAAAGATGAGCTTGCAGTTCAAAAGTAAATGAGATTTTTTTTTTTTTTTTAATGGAAATCACTGCATCAGCTTTCCCACTGATAAAGCTTTGTTGGGTTCTGTGACATAGCTGAGTGTCTTGGTGGTTTGCTAAAAATGCACCATTTCTGAGTCAGAACTGAAGGCAGGGGAGAGGACCCTCACAGCTGAAGGCAGGGTAGAGGACTCTATACAGTTAGAAGTACTGCTGTTTTCTTCAGTATTTGTAGTCATTTTTACACTTCATGAAAATAGACTCACGAACTCCTTGTCACTGCTGCAGAAGTATTGAGTTCCATGCTTTACTTAATCTTGCCCCGCACAGTTGAGTACTTTGGTTGCTCCCAGTTTAGGCTATTATAAATAACCACATAGTGGACATCTTCATGCAGGCAGCATTTTCATGTCTCCTAAAATCTAATGGGTGATAAAGTACAGAGACAAGCTCATCACACCACTGAGAAATCACAAATAGCTGCAATCAAAATGCATTCTCAAGGGCACAGTCTGCCTTGACCTTATACAGCTTAGGGCTTGACCTAGCTGAGGCAACAGGGAATGAAGAAACAATAGGCACACGTATAGAAAAGCTGGATTATTAAAAAAAAAATTTTAAAGACAAGCTGGATTATTACAATGATATACCAGCAGCTCAGAAACTCAGTGTGTTTATTTTATAAATCCTAATCATGGTGATACATTTATTATATATAGCTGAACTGAACAAGGCAGGTTTAGCTAATCTATGAAAGAGAGTCTCTGTAGGGGAGCAGTCTCATGCTGTAAATATCTAGGAAGAAGTTACAGTCCGTATGATCTGTACACACTGTCTATATCTCCACACGAACCAGGAAAGGCTTTGCCATTTCCTTGAGCCTCACTATAGAAAGGCTTTGCCATCCCCATGAGTCTGAGGCAGTGGGGTGCTTGTTATGGCTGTGCTCATGGCAACCATGCACCTTTATCAGGGCTTATCCACTTCCTACATATTCTCTCAGGGCTTCTGCTACTTTCTACAACAGTCAATACTGTTGACTTTAGAGGACTTCTGGAGAAGATACCTGAATGTGATTGGCAGCCCCTGAGCAGGAACGTTTAAGTAATGTGTTTGTCATCATGTCTAACTGCCTGATGCCTGGCTTAAATACAATCTGGAATAGTTGGTTAGTTCCAAGACATTCAGGCTACTGTTATGCCGGTGAACATATGTTTCCAGGTACTTTGTTATTGTAGCTTAAGTAAACTGTTTTTAAATGAAGTCT